CTTAAAATCTATTTTGTATTCTCTTATGTGAAATCAAGGAACATTAAACAGGGACAAGTAAGAAACCTTGTATCATCCCTATGCTGATTCTGAGATGTCCCTTAACCCATAGTAAGAGAGGAAAACAAACTCTTAGGGGGCAAGTAATAAAGGCTCTTAGTGTTAAAGTAACTGTAGATATTGCAAAGTCGGTAGTTTTGGGTGGCTGTAAAACCTGTAAGAAGGGGAAATTGGTGGGTTGTGTTTGTATGAGCTCATTGAGGGTCAGCTTTGCACTAGGTGGCAAGAGGCTTATAAGAGATTCTGAAGTGGGCCTGAGCTGAGGAGGTTTCTTACTGTCCAGTAGCTTTAATTCTTTGGGTGGAAAGGTGGTGTTTTTCCTTTTCAGAGCTATTTCGGGTAAACCATTACTTTATTTTCATCAAGCAATATAGCTGATGGTGATTGATCTGAAAAGCTACATACACCTTTGGGGCATATACCACCACTCTGTCAGGGTAGGATGGTAAATGCTGTCTGGGTTTTCAAGTCTAATCATGAGGATTACCTGTTAGGCAAATAATGTAAATCGCCCGTTTTGGAAAGAGGGGTTAATAGGAAGAGTGTAAGCTGATAGACTTAGTAATGAAATACTGGGTAGAAGGATGGAGATAGGTAACTATGAGGTCCTTTGTTAGGAATTCTTGAGTCACCTGTCCCATATTGTTTTAGATGTCTGAAAGTGGTCTCTCAGCTTTGTGCTTTTAAGAGAGTTTTCTGTGGTTGACTAGATCATTTTACAAATATTGTTGAGAGTGAAGCAAGAAACATTGTCCTACTGTTTACACTCAGTCCTGTTCTTTCTGAGTCCAGACATGCATTTTCTAAATGCTCAGGAATGTTTTGCGCATGCTGACAAAAGGAAGTTTCTGTGTATTTGTCCTCCAACAAGTCCATAGGTTTAAGAATTTCAGTGGCAAACTTTCAGACTGGAAAAACTCAGTAGTAAGTTCCTAATCAGAAGATTGTTTGCTGTGCCTAAGAGTGATTTCAAAGCACTCATTTCATTATGTTAAAAAAGGACATCTTAACTGAAACAGAGTAACTCACTTGTATCTGTAAAAATGAGAGTTGATCCTATGTTGAAAGAGAGGCAGTAGTTAACAGGATTTTTTTTCTGACAAAAATTGTCTTACTTTGGAATGACCAGTCTTGGATGAAAAGTAAAGATGCAAATGACATTGCAGTCTTTAGTGTTGCTTTTTTGGGTTTTGTTGGTTTTTTTAATACTACTAATGTGATGCATGACACAAGTGACTTTCTTTTCACTTTTTAATAAGCCAGAGAATATCATCCTATAATTAGAATCATAGCACTGATGAAGGATAGCCTATGTTTCAGGTAGCGACTTGTGTAAAATTTTTGTTGCTCAATAGATTCGCTTGCTCTTTTTATTTTTCTCATTAATATAGAAGGAAAAAGTTTGTAATTCGAGGGGTTTGCACTCATAAAAATAGTTTAAGGCAAAGTTGCTTGTAGTTCCATAATACACTTTTAGGTAAGATACCCTATTTTTACATCATAGAACTCAGGATCAATGTCTGTTCACTGGTGACTTGCTCAGGGAGTACAAAGTATGGTAGGGTACAGATTTATGGTTCATGCTGTACTGCTTTAGAACTAGTAGGTTTGTTTAGTTTTTCAAAAATACTGCTTTCATAATCTGATTTCTAGCCTCTTACATGCAAGATTCATCTTAGGGATGTGCTTGATTAGGGATGCTTCATGTAAGGTCTGGCAAAAAAAAAAAAAGCTCTCTTGAATCCCTTTTTTCTGTTTTTCTGCCTGTTCCTTCAATCCTTTTCAGCAGAGCTTGAGTGCTTGTGGAGCAGATGTTTGATCTAGATGTAAAGGGGACTGAAATAAACTTTGACAGGTAACTAATTAACTGTAAGATGAGCACTTGTTAAATACTGAAATTGTTCATCAGTAACAGGCTCTAGTTGTCTAGCTTTCATAAGGAGGAAAGGGACATTTAGCTCCTGTGTAAACTATCCCTCTGTGATTCATTGTTAGGCATTTTCAGCACAATACTGAACTTCAGCTTCAAGAAGTTAAGCAGAAGCAGAATACTTTTTAACCTGGAAGGAAAGGCTGGATCCGTAGAAGAGGTTGCTGAACCCAGAAGTAGGATTGGGCACTTCAGACACTTAAGAGGAGCACTGCAGTGTCATCTTTGTTCCTCTGGAAGAGTAATGTGACCTTCCTTAGAATGAAGGCCCTATCTTCTTATCATGTAAACATGAAATATGCTTCAGCGGTCCGTGCATTCCATGTACTTGTTTTTAATTGTAACATGAGCTTGGCACGTTAAAGCAGTTGTTTGAACTGTTGGGAAGTTGCTAAATGTTATTGAGGAATGGAAGAGTTAGAAAAGAAAACGATTTGCAAACATCATCACTCTAAGGAAAACCGGTAGAATATCATGAAGCAAAGATGCCTTTCTTAAATGTAAGAACTTTTCCCTGTGTTAAATGGAGGTGCTAGAACTTCTCTGGGAAGTTTCTTCACAAGCAGTGACTAGTGGAGCCTAGTTTCCTGTGCTTCCCAATCTTCTTCCTCCTCTGACACAGGGCTTTATTTGGTCTGAATGAGTGAATACCTTCACATGTCTTCTCTCCCCTTTTTCAGTACTGCTCATCTCTGTTTCATTGTCTCTGGCTGGGGAACAGGGCTGCGCAGGCTCTGACTAGCTGGAGTTAGGAGTAAGCAGAAAGGCTTGAGCTGTACACCTTTTTGCTATATGTGCATAAGGAATGTTTCGACCACTGAATAGCAGTAAGGCTTTGGGGTTTTTTCCTCTTTTTTTTTTTTTTTTTTCTTTTTAGGTCTTATGTTGCTTCTCTGTTTTTTGTATTTTTTTTAAACTGCTGATGTTTTATAAACTTACTAGCAGTACCTTAACTGCTATAGGGAAACATGTTTCAGCTCTCTTGTTTAATGGATATGATCATGTGGGCACTCCTGTATTTTTTAACAGATACACTGAAAAAGTTCCCCCCTTATTTTCCCAGTATAAATCCTTAGTATTGTATTTAATGTTGTTTTAATCTTTTTATTTTATCCATATCCCCTGTATAGACTGCAGTAGTTACTTTTCTAAAAAAAAATAATAGATTACAAGAAGTTCTCAGTTTCCTAGTTCTTGAATGGTGCTGTTGGATTAAGTATTTGAAACATGCTTTAACCTTTAAAGTTGGGATAGGTATGTCTTGAGTAAAAAAAAAAAAATAAAAATCCTTTCATTTAAGTATGGTGCATTGCAAAACTGTTCCATAGTGTGCATGTGTGTTTTCTTATTTGGGAAAGCAAAGTCATTCCCATGTTCAAGAGCTAATTATGCCTTTCTGTCAAAAAGTCATTAATAATACCTGGGAGAAGGTGAATCTAGGAGGAGTATTTGGGGTAGGAGGTTATTTTATGTTATTTTGAACGTGTTATTGTGAACATAATTTATAACGTAATTGAAGAATGTGACTTAAATATGCTTGGTCTTAACATTCTCAAACTTACATTGTTAGACTGCAGTCATATCCTTCAGTTTGTATCAAATTTTTGAGGGGGTGGGGGAGGAATTGTATTCTTAAGTTGTGAAAGTCATAGCCTGATTGATTAGATTTTTGAGTGATTTTATTCGGCTAGGTTGCACGTAAACATTTACAGAAATTGCATGTTGATAGTGTAAGGATGATAAGTGTTCTCCTAGTTTTTTTTCTACTCTGGGCATCTAAATGAATCACAGTTTAGAGCACCAAAATTAGAAGCTGGCTTCACAGGCAGTTCCAGTGGTGAGGTGCACGTTACGGGCATGATTCAGCATGTATCAGTTAGGCATTTAAAAAGACAAGGTTGTGAATCTCCATAGACAGATGAGTGCAAAGACGAATTCTTAAAAGGAGAAAGCTGTGTGTGCCTTGTCATTATGTGTATATTGTTCTTACCTCACTTAAACTTAAGGGGTTTTGTAAAGTTATGGAAATGAATATGCCAGACAGGCATTGAAGCATCATAAAATTTAGGGACATTGTTTATCCATGGTACTTGCAGGAAATGAACCTGCACATAAAGTACATGTTGTTCTTATGGTCTTAATCTGTTTAGTGTTTGTTTAGTGTTTGTAATTTTCCAAAGCAGAGCTTGTCTTCTTTTGTTGTTTGGAAAATGCATACTGTGTAGACAACATTCTTAAGAAGCAAACACTTGGAAAATCAAAATTTTGGTGTTACTGCAGTGAATCATTATTTAAAATTCTTCATTTTTGGATGGTGCCTAGTGCCATGTTCCTGTAAGAACGTAAAGCATGTTTGCATTCTAGTCTGATGTGGCCTGTTAGACGAAGCGCAAGATGAATCAACCAGAATTTTCAGTGGGGAAGAGGGATGTGGGAATGGTGATTTAAGAAATTCATTGCTAAGTAGAGCAAATATTCTACTGAACGGTGCTAATATTCTTAGCACCGTTTTCCAGGGTAGTCTTGGTCTTAGAAGTTGAATAAAATGCAAGCTTTTTTCCACTTGCTTTTTTTTCTCAAGTTACTGAATGAAAGGGCATGTGAAATTGATTTCTCTTTGTATGTCCCTCTGCACCAGTTCTTGAGAAATTACAGGACATCAGGGAGCATGGTAAATGAGTTACATGATTAAATTTTTAAATCTTACAACAGCTTTGTCCAGGATGAAAATCCCCAAATTTCAAATGATTTCTTCTGTTACAGGTTTTCTTTAAAATACCGCTTGATTTACATTTGTAAGATTAATAATAAATATACTTTTGGGTTGACATTTCATAAAACAAAATTGTAATCGTAAGGAATGCATTACCTACAACAATGTACTTATTGTGGCATTGTTACTTTTATTAAACCATTTATCATTTCAATGTTATGTATTCTGACTCTTAAGGTTTCCTATCTTTTTCTTCAAAGAAAATGCAACAAAACAAATTCAACATTCATTTTTCTTTCCTACAGCATTATCTGCATACCAGAGGTACTACAGTTTACAATCTGACTACTGGAAGGTCTGTATATGCTACTTTTTTTAAAAAAAAACCCCAACATATTGTTGTAAATGATTGAATTTCTTAAATAGATTAATTTCAATATCGGTTCAGAGTATCTACCTGAAATTACTTTTTGGCGTATTAATTGGGTCTTAATGGAAATGTTCACCTGTATGTGCAGTTTGTTACAAATCTAAGTGGAAATAAATCTTCACACCATTTGTTGAAATGGCAGGATCAATTAACTTGACACATTTTAGACTTTTATTTTTTAATTACTATTATCCATTACTTCAGTATGTCTTATGTAAGCATAGATATTTGGATACATACGAGTATTGAGAGAATCATTACCACTTGAAAGCTGCTGCGCAGGCGTTGGACTTGTACTAGGAAAAATGTTCTCAGGTTGCTTTTTATTTCCAGAGATGCCAAATTGCTTAAAGTTCCTTTCAGTATTTTAGACAACATTCTTATGTAAGACAAGAAAAAATCCTGTTAGGATAGCTGTCTTATCTGTAAGTCCATGTAGCCATGTTGGGACTTTACATGAATAAAAATTAAAAATTTCTTCTAGTGATATTGTCAGAAATAGTTAGCATTGTTATATTGTCACATGAAATAATTTGAAGCTCATGACTGAGACAGAGGTGCAGGAAAGCACATAACACAGTAGATACCTCTGTGGCCTTAAGCAGCTGTTTTCCTTAAAAGTGTGCATAAGTGCGTATTTCAAATAGGGAGGGCTCATTCTGGAAAGACATCAATACCATGTGTATACCATCATTAGAGAAACAACATTTTCTGTGTTTTTTTGCGTTTTGTAGGGAGTGTAAGTATGTTCTGAAAAATCCTGTTAGGACAACTCCCATTTTGGGAGGGTGGAAAGGGAGAAGGGCAGGGTAAATAAAGGGTAGATGAGTCAACTGAAATAAGTGTCTTCTGGCATGTGGAAGGAGAGGTCCAGTCAGAGGGTCCTAGGAAAACTGTCCATACTGTCTTTTAGAGCCCCTGCTCCAGTAGAAGTTGTAGGAGTGCCGTTTTTGCACCAAGCCATTTTGGAGTTGGAAGTATTTTTTTCAGAAGTAACCCCTGTAGTTTTAAAATTACGACAATAAAAGCATTCATATAATCTTCTTACGTGCTCTCCAAGAGTTAAGGATTGCTGTAAATGAGTGTTGAAATTGATGAATTAATTAAGCATCTATTGTGATAGTTTCTGTTGCTTGTACTCTTCCTGTGTTAAGCATTTCAGAATAGTTTGTGACTTGAATTTTTTTTCTGGCTTTTGTTATAATGGCTCATTATTAGAAGAAGTGATAGATGATTAGTAAATTATCTTCCCTGCATTTTCAGAGAGTTCAGGGTGAAGTGTAAATGACTATATGTATTTCCATAGGTGTAGAGTGTTCTAGTGTGGCCCAGAATATTATCTGCAATTAAAATAAATGCAAATTTTGATTTGTTTGCAGTTCCATTTCAAGAGCATGGATGGGAGTAAAATGTGTGATCTGTGCTTGATTTCCTGAAAGCAATTTCTGTTTGTATGCAATGTGCTTGTTATTCTAGCATATCCATTTCTTGTGTATATCTGGAGAGTTTTACCATGCAGAGATTATTTCAAAAAATTCCAGTTGCAAGTATGAGAGCATTGTTTGGAGCTGACAAAAGAGCATTTTGACGTCTACATAGTAAAAACCCCACAAAACTCCCGTAATTTTTTTTCAGGTTGGCCTTACCTGGGAAGGATACTATCCTACTTGATCTCAGTACGAGCTTCCTTTATAGATGTGTAGTTCAAAGTGGGTTTTATCCCATAATAATTTTGGAGATTTTTTTTAAGGTTTAGATGCATGAAAAAGAGCCTGAAAGAGTCCAAAAACTTTTTTCTGGTAAAAGCTTTTTTTCCTGAAACTGATAAAAAATCACTGGTGAATCATATTTCATCTTATTAATGGATGATGGAGCCAGTCTGGAGTTGGCAGTGGGAAGCTGCTTAGACTGGGTCCAGAGAAGGGGGTGTGTATGTGGCCCTCAGTCCCCAACTGAGGCGATTTCTTGTTTCTTGTTATCTTTAGTGCCTTGTAGCTATAAGAAGCCATGTATGTTTGTGGTGTATTTTGTGTATTTTTGGCCACTTTTATATGCTGTGTTGTTATACTTTGTAATTAACTTATTTTCAGTGAGATTCAGATGGATATAAAAAAAAAAGCAGTCACATGTCCTTGTTTTACTGTTGTGGTTTTTTTAAGAACTTTTTTTATTTTTAGTTCTTACAGGGTTAGATGTCATCAATTAAGTTGTTGGAATTTGTGATGGGAAAGAAAGGGAGAGAGAAGTGTGTGAAGAAAGGGTTGTATTTATGAGCTCTTGAGGCGAGCTGTGTGAGAGTACTGAGAAACTGATGGAAGTGCTGAATCACATGAAGATTATTATATAAGGCAGGTTTGAAACCAGACAGGAACAGCCTTATAAACTTAGGCAGCATATCTGAAATTACTTAAGTAACAGTGGTTACTTGGTACAGTGCAACTTTACATGGTTGAAATAAGTGTCCCATATCTTTGTTGTTTTATAAATACAAAATTTCTAGGAGGACTGTGAGACATTTTAGGTTGCTTTGGGTATAGTTTGGCCCCTGTACATAGTATTTTTAGTCTCTGCTGCTTTGGGTTTGCACTGTTGCATGAGGTTGGTAATTGAGCATTATTTTCATGCATTGTTCCATGATACGATATTCATTTTACAGTTAATCTTTCCTTTTCATGAAGAAAAGCATTTTACTTTTTTTTTTTGGTAGATTTTTCTGATGGTCTGAATCTTTTACCAGGTTGTTTTCTGTCAGATACTGGTACATGGGTTGTTTTGTTGGTAAACAGTAAGCATTTTGTTGATCCTATGGAACAAAAAGAAAAAACACTTTAGAAAATACATTCTGAATATATGTTATAGTGACAGAAGTGGAGGTGAAAGGCTGCAAAGATGTTGTGTTTTGCTGTTTACCAGATCAGTACTCCCTCCAGTCTCGTATTACTTCCTTTCGAAGAAGTAATACCTGTATGTATGGATAGTTTTGAAAGAACTGGGTTGTATTATGCCACATATTCCTAAATAGATGAGTTTTTGCAGTAATGTCTTTGGACACCCACAGATCAATGTAAAATGTCCTGCAAAATTACAGAATTTCTGCAATTTTTATTCTACGCAGGCATTGTGGTGCCCTAACTCTGCATTTAAAAAAATTTGACTTGAAATCTTATGAAGTAAATATCTCAACTTGGATAAAAGCTGAGATAACTTAATAGAGTTCTTGCATTCAAGTAGTTTTCTCAGTATTTCTTCTTCTTATGTGCCTATGCTAAAATAAACCTCCCTTCTGTGCAGTGTACTTCATTCTGATTTCTTTTTAAAACTCCCCTGTGTCAACATGTTGGGGGAGGTGAGGAGGACTGTGGGGGATGAATGGATAGGAAGGGCAGTTCAGGAGAACTGCAGTTTGTAGATTTTGATGCTACTGAGAAAATAAAGATATCAAGTGTAAGTGTCTGCCATGGTTATTGGTTTTGACATATTCTGAGGAGGCAGGATTAGACGCTCAGCAAGGGGTAAGACACTCCTGATTTTATCCAAACATAATGGCAGATATCTGGCACCTGGAAGAAGTTGTTTTAATCATCTAATGTGGTTGTATTATAATGGAGTTGATATTGCTGAATTCTTTTGTATAATATCTGGGTTTGGATAAGGCTGTCCTAACAGAAATTTCAGTACATGAGTGAATTGAGTTTGTGTAAGTGTAAAACATCTGGATCTGCTGCACTGACATGGTTGCCCAAGGCAGGGGAGACCTAGAAACCTTCTTCCTCAGATGTGGAGCTGCAAGAGGTTTCAGCACTCACTAGAGTGATTCCTGGGAGGGTTTTACAGAAGAGCCTGGTTGTCTGGTACTTTGATCAGATCTCTGCTTTGGCATGACACTGCTACTGCAGCCCTTATGTGGCTTGATAATCTTGATTAAAGTATTTTTGTGGCCTTTTGCCCACAGCATGTAAGCGTTCACATATTGTCAGAAATTGTGTGCCTGTACTTGTTGCAAAAACAGAATCTGAATAAATAAAACTCTCTACTTTCTATAAAACTCTTATAAAACTACGGGTACACTAGCTAGCAGCAAGCTCCCAGATGGTGATTCTCTGCAGTGTTTCCGTGAACCATGTATTATTGACATCTCTGTCACTGGGGAATGAATGTGTAGCTTTCTAGACAGAATTTTAGTCAAATCCAGGGGATTGTGAATGGCTTATGAGGAGCGTAAGGACAGCACTCTGCCACTGAGTGTGTTAATTAATCAGAGAAGTGTCCTGTCTTCAAGGATTTTTATAAGAAGTTGTGTTTCATCAGAGTAGCACAGTGTACACAGATACTTAAACATTTCTATCTATATATCAATAAGTTGGAGGACTTCCAGGGCATAATATTTAGAAATGCACCTAAGTGAAGCTTAAAATGATGGAAGTTACTGTGAAAATCAGTTACTCCTGTATCAAGGAAGACTTTACCGTGGACTAGTGTGCTAGAACTTAAATTGAGGAGTCTTTAAAAAGAAAAGAAACCTCAATTTATTCAGTTATACTTAACTGTAGTATCTCTTTATAGAGAAGTGCTTGGAGTGTATCAGTCAGAAAATCTGAATGTTCCTTGAAATGTTTGAGGAACACTTAATTAGTGAGTTATATCCTCCAACATGAATTCAAAGGTAGACTTCTTGTTAGCTGTTGACTTTGTCTGGAAACTTGCCTAGAAGAAAAGTAAATCTGTCAGGCACTCTTTATCATTGTTATGAAAATGGTCCTAATCACCTTTCTTTTTAATAAAGATTTCATTTATGTGGTCAGGGTGAAAACATCAAAGAAGTTCAGTAAACGCCAAGACCTACTTCGGTGTTCCAGTGGATTTTAAAAATATCTGGGTGAAAGTGTGGTATAAAATGAATTTACAGTTGCAAGGCTATACTGTAG